CTTTGGGAGTCCATTTGTTTTTATCTTTCCAAATGATGACTAAATACCTGATCTGTAGCATTTCTCCTGAGAAGATACTAGTAAGGGAATGACAGTTTTGATGCACTTTGGAATGGCACAATCACGTAAACGCTTGCACAATTAAGACTTATGAACTCATCCAAAGTTTCTAAACATGATATTCTACCTAAGAACTAAAATACCAGCACAACGCAGCGAGTTAAAAAAGAAGAAGAGAATTCTATGTAATCAAAATATAAACAAGTACATAGGAAATGGCTATCTGTCAGTAAGTCTATAGCTCTTTAAAGTACGAAACGTATGCACTTAAGGAAAAAATGTAGCTATCTGACAAACTTGGTAAAAAAAAGGACTTTCCAAATGCATAACAAATGCCAAGATATCCTGTAACTGGCCAGGTATAGCCACATAAGAGCTGCATGGCTTAGAGCAACCCGGGGAGGGGGGTGGTGGAAACAAACAAACAAACAATAGCACAAAAACAAGAAATCAGCAAGTTTAGGGGGAAAAAACAAAAAGAAGAGAAAAATCACATCATCATCATCATCATCATCTAAATTCCTGTGTGCTTCTATCCCAACTGCTAATGGAGCCGGGTGCGGGGGGGGGAAAACCAAAAGTGGAGACTGCAGTTTAATGACTCTTAGAGTTCTCTCTACAAATGCAGAAGAAAGAATTATCAACTTAATACACTAATCCTAAGCACCAATTTAATAATTTAAGTTAATTGTATTCATATTTCTCCTACTAGGGATGGAGCAAGTTCTGCCTGAAGGCTTAACGTTTAACTCTGGAGCCCATCTGACTTCTGTGTTCTTGTCCCGCTTCCTCTGCTGTTCGCATCAAAGTCACTGTAAAGTTTCTCTCGAAGTTTCAAACTCTCTAAGCAAGCAATTCCTTGAAGACACAATCACATCCTACAGTTTCAGGTCATGAAAAGTGAAACACAACAGCACTGGGTTAGTCTGTTATTAACCAGTCTGAAAATGGAACAGCCAACACCGTTCCTCGACAGGATTTGCCTTAGAACTATAGCAGCACCCAGGGCAGACCAACTGCCAACACATCCAAGACTCCACGAGGAATTAGTAGTGTTACAAAATTGCATATGTGTTAGGTCAAGAAGGCATCGCCATACACATGGCATCATGACATTGTTTTTCCTCTCTTCTTCTCATGAAGAAAAAGCAAAGGAAAACAGCCCCACAAGGAGCTTTTTGGTTGTCTTTTTGTCACAGTGCTCCCCAGCTGGAGCAGCTCGGTGCTTCCCAGGAACTTAGCTTTTACAGAAAGCACTTTCACATAGTTAAGGTGGCCTACTTGAGCTAATTCTCAGAGCTAACCTTTTTCTCCAGTATGTATTTCATGCCACTTCCTGACAGCAATTTCAGAACTGAAATGGATCTGTGGTAATGTCCACTACTAACTGTGACCGGATCCTGACACAGACCATCAAGCCAGGCCCTTGGGATGGTTCCACACATCGAACTGAAGCTCAGACTAAAAAAAATCTCACTGAAACTCAAAAAGCTGGAGTGGTCATGAATCTCAGCTACTTCTCCCTAATTGAACCCTCACCCTGTAATGAAAGCACACACACCAAAGGAAACCACAACTGCCTGAGCTGGGAGCATTAAGACACCGGTGAGTTATCCTGCTGCTCTTCAGTGACCGTGGACTCGCTGTGCTCCTCGCTCATCTCATTGGAGCGCTCCTCGTAACCCGGCTCGGTGGGATCCAGGCTGCTCCCCTCGCTCTGCTCCTCACTGGCCTCTGCAGACTGCTCCAAGTTGCTCTCCAAAGAAGCTGGGGAGCTGCCAGTTACGCTTTCGGTTTGGTTCATTTCGTTGAGAGGCTGTGGCAGAGGAGCGATCACCGGCAGGGATGGGCACTTTGGTTGCGCCAGTGTCTACGACAATGTCATTTTGTGGTAGAGTGACCTTCTCCACGAGTTTCCACTGGATAATACTCATGTCTTTCCCTCCAGTTGAAATCAAGTGACAGTCGCTATGGGTGAAGCTGACATTTGTCACATGACTACTGTGAGCACTGTATTTGTGACTTGGAGCCTGTTGGAAACAAGCAGAAAGACAAATCATAGAAGCACAGATTGGTTTAGGTTGGAAAGGACCTTAAGATCATCCAGCTCCAACCCCTGCCACGGGCAGGGACACCTTCCACTAGAGCAGGTTGCTCCAAGCCCCTGTGTCCAACCTGGCCTTGAACACTGCCAGGGATGGGGCAGCCACAGCTTCTCTGGGCACCCTGTGCCAGCGCCTCAGCACCCTCACAGGGAAGAGCTTCTGCCTTAGCTCTAACCTGAACTTCCCCTGGTTCAGTTTGAACCCATCACCCCTTGTCCTGTCGCTCCAGTCCCTGATGCAGAGTCCCTCTGCAGCATCCTTGTAGCCCCCTTCAGACACTGGAAGCTGCTCTGAGGTCTCCACGCAGCTTCTCTTCTCCAGGCTGAACAGCCCCAATGTTCTCACCATGTCTCCATACGGGAGGTGCTGCAGCCCCTGATCATCCTCATCTTATGCTGAGGACACCAGCACTACACACAGTGCTGTGAGTGGGGTCTCACCAAAGCAGAGCAGAGGGGCAGGATCACCTCCCTTGACCTGTTGGTCACACTGCTTTTGATGCAGCCCAGCACACGGGTGGTTGACTATCACATGCTCTTCTAGCATGATACTGAAACCTAAAACTACCACTGTTTTTACTTAGCCCTTCAAGAGACTTCTTTATTCACATAAGCATAAAGAATTATATTTGTATTAGGTTCACCCAACAATATATCCTCCTTTTTTAAGGCTTGAAGCTTGCGACTGATTTAGATCTTTATGCAAAAAGCAATGGCCTTAACAGTAAGGCCAGGAAACGGAATGTGTCAAGTCTCTGCTCCAGAACTGAAGGGTAATTATTGCCATTTCACTTTCAGGTCTATTATGTGATATTTCATATTATTTTCTATATAAACTTAACAGGGAAAACCATGCTTCTGTCCCTAGCTCTGTTCTCAATATGTATAAGCTATTTTGCTGACAGGTTCCCAAATGACTGAGCTGGGGACTTACCTTTGGCTTGGAACAGGGATACTGAAAGAGATGGACCTTACAAAAATCATCGGCAACTGCTATCACTTTTCGGTTATGGGATCTGACAAGGGCGTTGATGTCTGTCCCATCTGACCCCTCAGGCCAAACTCCTAGGAGAGAGTAGAGCAGATATTTAGTGATGGCAGTTTTAGAAAGCTGTGAGAAAAGGGAAGCTTAACAAAGGCAAATCAGGCATTCAACTGAAAGCTGGAATACGTATTGCATTAAATGTCATTAATATTTTGCTAGCCTAATGCTGCTCCCCCAAACCCTCAGCCTTGGCCAGGAAAACCTCTTGGGCTTAACGTAAGTTTCCTATTCAAAACCTTAAGTCTTGTTTAAAGCTTATTTTAAGATTAAGTTTGTTGCTAAAATTGGTAACACTTCCGTTTGTGCACAAAGGGTTTAAAAGCAAGACTGGTGCTGGAGCATGGGACAACATACAGCATGCAGAGATTTCTTTTGGTTGTCTTTTAAATCTTAGTATTTGCGTGATTCAAAGGAGACTGATGACACTTTGCACAGAAAGCCACCCTGCATGAGTTTCCTAGATGTAAGTGCTGTCAAGTGCTTAAGTACAATTCAATATGCTTTTAAGTGAGAAGAATGGCACAGATATGTCTAGACAAAAGAATAACAACAGGGCCTGGATGAAAAGCACTGAACAGACTGGGGAGGGGGGAGGCTTTAATTTTAACTATAAATAAAGGCCCTAGAGATCCCCATAGCGAAACTGCTGCTTCACATCTGCAAGTAAAGCTGAGCAAAAGGCAAGCAGGGGGTTATAAGATAGTAACTTATGACAAAGGCGCCAGATTTTTACAGCTCAGATTTGGGGCTTCTGATAAGTTCAAGAATGAAGAGCAATTTTCCCCCCTCAAATTTCACACCCTGAATAATTGCGTGTCTGACTGACTGAGAGGGATGTTCCCTATCAGATAGGAAAATATCTTCCTCCCTTAGTCATTGACTTTGGTAAAAGAAAACCCATGTGCTGTCCGCTATTTCATACAGAAATTCCTTTTCAAACTCCCCCACTCTCTTCCCTTGTTTTTATGCAAAATGGCAAATATCCTTTAACTTGAAAGTTGGTTTTTTTCCCATTCTTCAGTGGGTGGAGTGAGAAATTGATTTTCTCTGCAGAATAACAAAGGCAGCTTGTTTCAATACCAGTAAGCTACATTGCGGCTAATGTACTGAATAAAGGCATGAAATGCTAAGGCAAGTATTTAGAATCATTGTAGTGCTCTCACATCAATGAAATCAATCTGAAAAACATATATAAGAACTTGCAAAATGAATGCATTTTACCTTTCTCCTGCATTCTGTATGTAAAATACTGTCATCAGGTAGGAGTGATACATGAACTTCAAATCAGATTCCTGACGTTTCACTTACCACCGTATGCACGCTGTGCTAAACAGCTATGCCATTGCCTCCTCTTTCTCATTTCAGATTAAAAAGACTGATATTCAAGCCTGCATCTCTTATTTAATATCTTTTGAGTTCAGAAATTCCTTTACCAGCTCTAAAGGCAAGACAACCCTTTGTCATAAGACAGCAGGATTTGCTTTCAATGCAGCAGGTAAACGTGGAAACCCCAAGTCATTAATATGACCAAGTTCTTAGTTCTTAACTTTAAAAGCAATAAAAAACACACGACTCTGCTACTAGGTATGACAGCAGCACTTTCATTTTAATGGAGTGTGCTGCCAGCAGCAAGCCTCTTGAAAGAAGCTGCTCAGATGGAAGTGTGGGAAATGTGCAGTAAATGAGAGAGTGACTTCAAGTGCTTGGGATGCAGATGGAGGAGCCTGCTGAGCCAACGCAGTGATACCAAGTGCCAAAAAGGAGCGATGCTATTCTCATCTGAAGCAGGCATTTCAATCCTTTCGTCTGCTGACAACAATGCCTGAGCCTACGGACACGCTATTCCACAGCGTTAAATTAGTAAAACACATACCCCGAAAGCCCAAATCCCATAAACTTAACCCTCTTTCCTGAACATCAAAGTGAGCAGCCCTGGCTTGTTGGGATCCCTGAGCCAGCTGACCCTCGGGTCAAAGCCAGACTTCTCCTTTGGGCAGCAAATACCTGCTAGGTTGGCTGAGCTGCACTGTCTGATTTAGTGGGAAAATCCTTGCCTTTGTCAGAGCCTGAGCAGCATTTTAAGACTCTGCAAAGGGTGTCAGACTCCCAGACAGTATAAAACTGAACATGATGAATTCTGGCTGGAAGGTTAAATACATTCTGTTCTGCCCCAGAATAACATCACATTATCTGCTTTGTCTACTTCACTCCCAGGCCCACTGGCACACTGACAATTGATTCTGAGAGCAGCTGAGATCGATTCAGAGTGGTAAAAGTTTGTATGAATCCAAAAGGGAATGCAGGCAGGATCAGCTGACTGAGCCACTGTTTAAAAGCAAAAAGTAGAAAGGCTTCTCCAAACAGTGGATATGGGAACTGCTCATCCCCAGCCTGGCTCCAGTTAGCTTCTGTCCAAGAACTGCTGAAGACACAAAGCCAATGGTCTTTGTGAAACCAGACTCCTTCTGCACTTCCACACCTCATCTCTTTAGGTCAGGAATAAAGGACTTCTGGGAAAGTGCTGGGATTCAAAGCAGTTTCCTGTCTGCTCTAGCATCAAATGTAATGGTAGAAGTTCAGTGGCAACAGAGCCACGGTTTGCTACCTTCACACTTCTGGCACATTTAAGTACTCTGCATGAAATGTAAAATGGCTTCAGCTCCAAGGCTATTCCAGAAGGAATATTCAGTCCTTACAAAGCTTCTTCATTGCTCTTGAGAAAGACATCATATTAGCATGAGAGTTTTGCTTTTCATTTTCTCTAGCATCTCCTGAACCTTCCGATACTCCCTTTTAAGCAAGGCATTTGTGCTGCACTATTATTTCAGTCTCAGAAGCAAAGGCAGGGAGGAAGTAACTGTGGTGGACCAGTTCCCTGTCAGCCTAGGCTTACATGCACAGAGTGTCAGGAGGGACAGCCATTCCCCTTCTACTTCACCCAGACAGATTGAATAAAACCAAACCAAACACGTGCAAGAGCTGGTTCACAGTTCTCTGGCTAATGGGAGACATATTTTTCATCAGTACAAGAAAGACAAGGAGCTACTGGAAATGGTCCAGCAGAGGCCACAAGAGTGTTCAGGAGTCTGGAGCATCTCTCTTACGAGGAGAGATTGCAGGAGCTGGGCCTGTTTAGTGTAGAGAAGAGCAGCCTGAGAGGGGATCTCATCAATGCAGATCAGTGTCTCAAAGGTGGTGCCAGGAGGATGGTGCCAGACTCTTTTCAGTGGTGCCCAGCGACAGGACGAGGAGCAATGGCCATAAACTGAAACACAACAAGTGTCACCTCAACATGAGGAAGAACTTCTTTACGTGAGGGTGGCAGAGCACTGGGACAGGCTGCGCAGGGGGGATGTGGAGCCTCCCTCTCTGGGGACATCCCAAACCCGCCTGGACACGTTCCTGTGGGACCTGCTCTGGGTGGCCCTGCCTTGGCAGGGGTTGTATTGGGTGATCTCCAGAGGGCCCTTCCAACACTGATGGTTCCGGGGTTCTGTGATCTAACTAGCAACAAGCTACTTGCTCATTAAGCACATGACAGTCCTAAAATCTGCATGATAGGTGTCAGAATCTACAGAAAGCTCTCAGTCCTAACTGATAACTCTTCTACCCTGCATATAAACTGATATTCAAAACTGACCTCCTAGCAGATGTGCAAGAAAAGATACTGCATCACTGATAAGCATCAAAAAAATTTGATGATTTACCTGCTTCTGATGTTTCCAACATGAAGAACAGAGGCAGGTATGAGATCTCAGGGATGGAAGCAAGACATTCAGCATCCTACTCACACAACTTGGTTTGACAACACTGCCAGGCTGAATCATACTCCCAGAGGAGCTCCTCATTTATGGCCAACAGCTCCCTTCAGCAAAAGCAGCAGTGTGTATTACTCACCTTTGACTACAGGTATCAATGTGTTGTCATGATTTTAAGTCATGAACTATAACCTACACTCACATAGTCTTGTTCCTATCCCCAAGATAAGGTAAGCAAAGGAGAATGCACATGTGTCATATGAGCACTTTAAAATACCAGCTTTTTGCTTCAGTGCCTCCAAAACTGGTAGCCTAAAATGACAGCAAAAAAAATCAAATCCCAAACTCCCATACTAAATAGAAATCAACTGTACATTTCTGTAGAGCATCCAGTGCTCTGTGTCACAGACAAGTATTGTGGCCAGTCTCTTTGGTCTGTCATCTCAGCACCATCCTCAATAATCATTAACTGTTTTTCTCATGACAAATTGAAGCAAAAGCAAACACAAAGCCCAGCATGAAAACCTTAAAAGCAAGTTAGATGGTGCTTACCAAACACCTGGAAGCCTAGCACACAAGTGTATGTTGTCCAATCTATATCCTTACAGTCAGAACGATTCCTGATTAGCTTACAGCCACTTGGAATGTCCCCTGTAAAAAAAGTGAATGATGAGTTATGCCATATAAAATTATAGTCACGTAAGTGCTTTCTGAAGGTGCTAAGACAGTAAATAAATGCATCTTAAAAACAATCTGGAATCATACTGAGGAGGCAGACACACCAGTACCGTTATTACATTCCAGATATTTGAAGCTTGATATTTGAGTCACATTTTATTCTCATTTCCCTCTTCAGATCAGGGTACCTCAAAACCACTTCTCTACAACCCGAGTCCCCTGCTACCTACTCTGCAAAATGTTTTAATAGAGACTGCAAGAGAACAAGGTCCCCTTCCTACCAGCTAAAATTTCATCAATGATTCAGGAAGCTCTGCTTTGAAAAGATGAACAACTACTGCCAGAGGAGCCTTAGACTGCTTTGCAACTTCTATCTACGAAAAGAAAGATTGTCCATCTTGTAATACACCAGCCCAATACTAACGGGTCGCAGGTCTTTGCTTCCCCATACAGGCAACTGTAAGCACCAGCACTTCCTTTTGGTATACTGAGATACTGCACTCTCCAGATTTGAAACCTAAGTTGTGCCAGGCAGAAAGAACATGTTAAGCTGACAGATATTTGACCTGCTGGCTCTTCTTGCCTGTACAGGAACAGAACTACAATCCTCTTGCATCTAGTTAAAGCCACAGGAATAGAAGAATACAAAACTCAATTGAAAACCAGACTGATCTGCTCTATGCAAGTCAAACATGCTTTTGACATAACCACTATAGATTAAATTCATATTTCCATTATTAAAAAAGACAAACCCATTCTTAATACTAACACATTCAAGCAGATTTATGGCTTGGTTTCATTTTCAACACCACCAGCAAGAAGAGAGTTTAAAGAAAGAAAGCCCAGAAGAGAACAGTGGCACTGATTTTCTCCCCCAAAATAACTGGTTATTGTTGACACTAATTAGACAACTGTATGTATTATGTTCAATCTATGGAACTTTGGGCCAACATCAAAACATAGGGCCATTTGTTCTGTACATTCTACCCTGTGAAGCTGATTTATGACCTTGTAAAGAAGTAAGCTATATTTGGCATTGCCATTAGGTAATACACAGCTCTGAATAAGATCAAGATATCTGGTTACACAAGTTCAAATCAGTTCCTTTGTCAGCAAGCATTTTGTACAGTTCTGATCAAACACACCCCTCTACATATTCTGACAGCTAATACATACTTTCTGTTTCCAGTGTATTTCATTTCATACTTACAGTATAGTATTTCATAGTCTCCTGAGTTTGACATTATATACTTGTTGTCTGGGGACCAGTCAAGGTGTGTAATATAGCTGGAATGTCCCTGCAGAGGAATGCAGTAACACCAATGTGAAACACTGCTTTTAATTCCAACCGAAGCAGAAGTTGCACCCACAGCTGGGACAGCAAAAAAGCTCCTCCCCACCCACCCCAGTCTCCTGCAGTTCACTTGTGCTCCCTTCAAGGCTCCTCACTGGGCAGTGCCACTAACAGCCAAATTCTTCACTTGTAAACTATGTCCTTCTCAGAACCGAGCATGATTTACTCCTAGAAGGTTGCTAAGATATGGATGAACTCGCATTTGTACTTGAATTAAAGCACACGTTGCTACTAACTGAGAAAAGCAGTAACTTACACAGGATCATTTTTAGATCCCAACAGAACAAGTGACAGATGGGACTCTATTTCTTCAGCCATTCAAAAGAATTTCCATTAAATGCACTCACATTCAAACAATCTTTGCTCTTCCTAAAAACTTGGTTAACAACCAAAATATAAAACTACAAGATCAAGGACTGGCGTTACAAGAATACCCTCATAAGGTATCCCACTGTGCTTCTACTGCATGCATGTCAGTGCCAGCTTTGGAAGGAGTCTTCCCCACAGGCACAGACAGGGTCATTTAGATAGGAATCAAACCACTTCGGCCTAATTACTAGTTCTAAGCATGGAGAGAACACTGAGGGCTAAATGCCCATCCTGGTTTTGAAGGGAGAAGCTAAATGCAGCTGGTCAGAATATAACGTGCATGTGTAGTAGTAATGACAGCAATAATAAAGCTATGTAGGAGCTCCAGAGAAACTACAGATTTGTATAAGATTTGTATAAATTATTTCTCTGAGGAGGGAAGGGTAGGAAATGAATAAAGACGACGTCTGTGTCACACTATTCTTCCTCCATCCTTCCATTTCTTCTTGCTGCCGCTCTTC